ATTCCATGGTCAGTGTGGGGGCAGAAAGCGGAAATGGAGAATGTTCGAGAAGCATCTGTTTGCGCTCATCGCCCACCTGCAACAGGACAAATTAGATAACGGATACTATAATATAATGGTACGAATTATATGCACTAAGGTGCTGTTTTACTACACAGTACATTCGATATACCACCAGGAATAATACAGTACTATATATTGCTATGTATACTCCACTGTGCTTTACTGTGCAACTGTATACTACACTGCTCTATACCATGGTACTTCATGGTATTATTGCAATATGGTGCTGGTGCACTTATAATACGGTACTCTATCATAAAGTACAGTATAGTAGTTTAAAGCAAATAATGTTGTGCTACTTTATATTATAATGTATCTTGCTAAGTTCCTCGAGTTATTGATATATTGATATTAAAATTACTCTCGTGGATTCTTATCCGCTGTTTCGAAGGATAATGAAAAGACTTCGCCGATCTTTATGGAACTATGTGATGATTGCCCCCAGTGTTTTTGTCCAGTTTTGTAGTGAGAAGTATTTCTTGTAGAAAATGCTAGCTTGTGAAGCGTGAGGAATTCTGCTAATGGTGCCTCATTAGCTGTTTTTAGGTCCATTAAAAACTTATTGTATAATTTGACACACCTCAACTTAGGAGATTCTCCTAAAGGAATACAGAACCTTTTTCATGTTCAGCGTTTGTCTCTCACGTTCAGGTTTCATCACGGCTGATTTCCCGCAGGATGGTCTGATGTATCGTTGATATTGTGCGTCAAACCAAAGCGTTGATACCTTAGTTTTTTTAAAGAAATTTTTCCTTCACCGAGTAAAGTACTCGTGAAAAATTTGAGTCGTCTGACGCTGGTTGGCGCTTCAGATTTTATGGAATATGAGTTAGTGACGGTTTTCTTGCGAACTTACTTTTCTGAACATTAATCCTTAGATTAGTTCAATGCTGCTGCATTCCTGTCAGGATTTTCGCCCAAGTGACAGACACACCCTAAGAAACTTGCTTTATCTCACTTAATTCCTTCAGGCAGCTGTTTAATCGGGGACGAAGAAAAAGGCGTTGTATCATTGTTTGAATCCAAAGGGAAGGGGAACAAAGACAGGCTGAATATGCTTACCAGTTTGATTCAGTAAAAGAAACATCTGTCGCTGTGGGTGCCTGTAGGTAAGGGGATTGTCCAAGATCACATACGGATAATTTTGGCCAGTTTTCATATTCTAGGCAGTTAAATGGCATGTCATTAAGCTACCGTGGCTTCAGCGGTGGTAAAGACTGAGCAACAGTTAACGTATGAGTCAGAATATGTTTCAGAACTTTGTTCCACACAAATGTGTAGCAGTAAGTGTATTATGGTAAAGCTTTAAATTTTGTCTTACTGAAACTGCGGATTTTTTTGTTATTCACCCTATATACCACCTACCGTCGACTCTGAGCAGGATGCTGGCCACTTTTCTAGTTTTCCTTAGCTTTTGGTCTCATCTTTTGGCTCTCGTCCATCCTCACCGATTAAGTTCCTTAGCAGGTTGCTAAATTTTTGAGAATTAAGTTTACTACCTTTTTGTTGCAATTATAGTCCTGCACCATGTTGGTAAATTTTGTAGTTTTTCACTTTAGCGTTGAACTTGGCCAGTCATGGATTTTATGATGCCCTGCGAGAAATGTACGAACCGGATTGGTCTGGATCTGAACACGTCAAGGCGATTAGTCATGTGAGTAAAATTGCCCATTTTTGTAATGCTGTCTGCTGGTTTTCGATGACACTGGCGAATCAGATAGCCACGCGATCAGTGTTTACGATACTAACTTAAAAATTTTTTAATGACGTTGTAGTTGAGTCATAATTGGATTTTCCCACTATGATGAGTAGCTATATGGGGGATGCTATTGAATACTGTGATTCGATTTGCGAATTTTTACTACGACTTCATTGACCCTCATGGTTAAAAATTTCCACTAGTCCTTGCGTAAAAGCGCAGCGAACGAAAATATCTGAGCTCGGTTCGTCTAACATCGTGGTATGCCAGAAATTTGCGCCAGTGCGTCGAAGAACTGAGAAGTGCGATTTCCTGACGTTGTCTGAATATGTACTTTATGGCGTTTGTTGCCATCATGACCTTAGTCAGCATCAGAGAGTCTCCGACTAGTTAGTTGTGATCGTCATCCTTTGCATCGTTACAAATCTGTAAGCTGCTTAAGACTTGTTATGTTTGCTCCTCTTCATTTTTTCGCATTTTTATATTAGGAGCTGTTAACTCGTCCACCAAGTAAACATTCCGAAGGAAGGATTTGTCCTCGGCAACAGATCGTTTCATTTTCTCTTCCGTGTGATATGCTGGTGTATATTATTTGTAATGATCTCCGTCTTCTGAGATCGTCGTATTCTTATGATCTCGACACTAGAGCTTTAATGCGCAGATTGATGGACGCACCTTGGAAGGAGCTGTTTTTTTTGTGAACGCAAATTTGTCTCCTTTGTTCTTCCTTGTTGTATGCTACCACTCCCCCTTAGTCAAAGTCTGCTATGCCTCGGTTCCTACATGAGAGGTTCGCGGAAACGAGTAAAGATTTGACTATTTAAATGATATCAATGATATCACCGGTGGACACCATTTTACCATAAAACCTGTGATCATATTGCACAAACAAACCAGAGCATTTAGCATTGCCTACAGGAATGAATGTATATTTTACTGCTTATATGGAAATGGCGGTGAATCCAAATTGGCAGAATACATAAACTCACATGAACAGAATTAGATATGCGGGTCTATACGTTGTCTTGTGAATGCGGTAAAATGC